GAGAGAGAGAGAGAGAGAGAGAGAGAGAGAGAGAGAGAGAGAGATGACTTTGTGTAAATGTGCCTCATTTAAACCTAATTCATGTACAAGACATCATCCATGATGTCATTGATCCTCTTTGAAAACGAAGGATGAGTAACATTAATCAATATACAGAGACTTATTTTTAAAGAAAGTTTTTCCTACATATATTTTTAAGTAAATTAATTTTAATTCAGTTAGATCATGAGGATAAGGGAACTCCAGATGCAGAATCTATATATACAATGCTTTCATTGAAGCCTGAGAATATAGAGTGGGCCTCTAACTAGTTCTCTTCAATTTGCATGAATTACTAAGCAAATTGTTTTTGTCTTCTCTCTGTTTTGGATTAATAGTAGTAAGATACCATGTTTATGTCTACACGGGCCAATTGAAGGAAGCAGAAACCACATCTGCAGTTTACCTGTGTCTTTATGGAGAAAGAGGTGACTCTGGTGTTAGGCTTCTCCACAAATCAGATATGCCAATAAAATTCCAACGAGGTCAGGTAAGTCCACATAATTATTTTCCCACTATCTCAGCAATGTTTCTAAAAGAGACCATTTTTCAAATGTCAGTACTCCATGGAGTGGTTTGCTTTGGGTTTCTGGCTAAGACTTCTTTTCAATATAGGTTTTCCCTAACATGATTTTCTGGCATGCTCTATCTGAAAGGTTGTTCTTGAAAGAGCAATGAAATACACTAAACCATTAATGAATAATAGAACAAAGAAAAGAAAGCCATAAAAATTAGTGCTAATGATTAGAAAGGGGAAATAGAAGAGGAAAGGGCACTAGGGAATTGTAGTATGAACATGCTCAGTCAAGACTGAAAGGCACAAAAATTGTTCCAAAACTTCCAGTCTCAGAAGGACCATTTACAGTATATTTCATTTAATAACAGTAGCCTTTTTTTTAAAAAAAAAAAACAATTTGAACTGAGGAAGCTATATTTTCAAGCTTAAAGCTACTTAACATTCCATTTTTTTTCTTTTACATGACCACAAGTCATTCCTAAGTAAATTTTCTGAGATATTACAGAGGGTCAATGACAATCTAATAAGAAAGGATATTTACTTTCTTTTGTCTTGGTGTTGATTAAGAAAAAGACACTGTTCATTCACACATGCTGAAATTGAGAACATGGATTAATTTTTCCAAAGGAATAATTTTTAAAGGGAAAGATGACCAAGTACAGGTTAGAAATCTGGTTCTTAATCTTGTGGGATCCATGAACTATCTTTTAGTGGTGTTCAGAAAACCACCTACCTCTTTCACCTACATCACAAAATAAAGTGACTCATTAGAATAAGAGGAAGATGATTACTGCCTTGGATGAGATTCAAACTAATCTATATGATCTATATTTGAATCTGGCATCATTTATCATAATGCAAGTATAGAACTACTCCACATCAGACTCAATAAATTACATCAATGTAACATTTATACAGTATATGAAGATTTACAAGGTTTATATATATACATCATATATGTATATATCCACATATATGTGGATATATACACTTTTATTCCTTTCCCCCTTTTCTTATGATAACACTTTTAAGTACATATTGGGGAGGAGAGAAGAGTAAGCATTTATTAAATACCTTCTATGAACCAGACACTGCAACATGCACTTTATAAATATTATCCTCTTTTCTCCTCACAACCACTTTAGGAGACAGGTGCTATTATTATTATCCCCATTTTACAGTTGAAGATCCTGAGGCAGATAGAGGTTAAATAATTTGCCTAGGGCCATGGAACTAGGCCATGGAACTGTCTAAGGCTAGATTTGAACTTAAGTTTTCCTGCCTCCAGGCCCAGTGCTTTGTCCATGGTGCTACTTATACAATCACACTCATTTTACAGAAGGTAAAACAGAATTGGAGGAGGGGCTTGCTCTGTATAACGTGGCTAGGGTTGGACCTAAGAATCAACCCCAATTCTCTCAATTCCAAGTCTAGTGCTCTTTTCCATGCTACTGTTTTTTTATCTTTGCTCAAATAAAGCTGGTCCCACTGAATTTTCATCCTCCCTATTGCCCATTTATGATCTTATGGGATCCAATTTGTTATTTGGACAGGCCATCTATTGTCTTTCATCCTTGGTATATGACTTGCCCAGTGCCTTTTTACATGATATACTACCTCGAATACATCTTTCATCTCTGACCTTCTGCAGGGTTCCTCATTTGTCAAGTGGTTGCTCAGAAAGGGATCAATGTGCTCCCCTCCTCCCCCCTTTATATATTTTCTTTCTATTGCATAGTAGGTGATGACAAACTTCTGTTCTTAATTTATTGTGGACTCATATTTTGATGCATATGTGATTGTGGGCAGTACTGTAGTCATCAAGCATTTCTGCCCAAATCAGTATGGATGTCTGATCAACATTATTCAGATATGTGTGAAACTAATTCAGGTGACTTTGCTTCTTCTGGTTCATTCTCCAGTCATACTATTATAGTTGGTGAATAAGATACCTGTATCTGGTCAGTTGTAAGTGTTTATTAAGCACCTGCTACTGTGCTAAGCACTGGGAATATAAGAAAGGCAAAAGTCAGTCCCTGTCCACAAGGTGCTAACAATCTAATGGGGAACTCCCCAAGCAAACAAACATGTACAAACAAGCTATATACAAGATATATAGGAAATAATTAAGAGAGGGAAGGCACTAGAAATAAGAGGGATTTGGAAAGGTTTCCTGTAGGAGGCAAGATTTTAGTTGGGACTCGAAGGAAGTCAGGGAAGCCAATAGGCAGAGATGAGGAAGAGAGCATTTCAGGCAGGTATATAGGCATGTCAACAGAGAAAATATTTGGAGCTGAAAGATGGATATTTCATGTGGGGAATAACCAGGAGGCTAGTGTCACTGGATCAAAAAGTACATGACTAGGGGTTGGGGAAGAGTGTAAGGTGTAAGAAGACTGGCTTTGAATGCCAAACAGAAGATTTTATATTTGATCTTGGGGATGATAGGAAGCCCCTGGAATTTATTGAGTATGGGGCTGACAAGTTTGGACCCGTGCTTTAGGAAAATCACTTTGATAGCTGAATAGAGGATGAATCGGGGGGTAGAAAGACTTGTGGCTGACAGACCTGGCTATTGCGACAGTCCAGGCATGAGGTGATAAAAGCTGTACCAGAGTGTTACTAGTTTGAGAGGAGGGAAGAGGGAGTATTGAAGAAGTAAAAGCAAAGGTAAAAGCAGCAGGCCTTAGCAACAGATTGGATACAGGGATAGTGATGAGAGATATGAGAAGAGGATGACACCTAGGTCATAAGTCTAGGGGTCTGGAAGCGTGGAGCTGCACTTGACAGTAATAGGGAAGTTTATTCTACTACTTATTTGTTCTGACAGGATGTTTAGTCTTCATTAGTTATCACAAGTCAATTATTCATTCAAGCCAGGAACATGTGATGTTATTAATGTGACTACTATGAAAGTCAGCCAGTCAGTTCGCCAATATTTATTAAGTACCTACTATGTTCCAGGTCCTATCCTAAGAATTGAAAGAATAGTTTCCGTACCATCTAAAGACTCATATAGGGTATCAAAGGTCCCCTATCGAGGTAATTCTTCAACACTCTGGCTCAGGCAAGGCCAAGTTGCATTAATAGAAGGAGTTTTCTCACCTAGGAGTTTCCTATTCCAGTGACATTACATTTCTGGTCCTCTGCCTTCTCTTCGACTCACCATTTGACCAGGGTCCTAAGAATGAGCCTCTAGCTCTGATTTCTCCTCTACAACTTAGTTTGCCAGATTCTGTTGTGCACCTTTTGACAGCAATGTCTTTTTAGCTAGAATCTTCCCTTTGTGTTTCTAAGCAGCATTTTGTTCATTCATCCCTTTTGTGACTGACCTATTTACCCTTATATAGTGGATAAAGACTGCCCTGGTGTAAAGAGAAGTGAGGATACAGATTTGGTAAAAACTTCAAAGAGAGCTGGTGCTGTAGAAAACAAATGGTGTATCCATGGGACTTGATGGCAGATCTTTTGAGATTTAGAATCAAGAGGAAGAAAAACTTTGACATTTATGCATGCTTTTATTTGATATATGTAATGCAAAGAAAATGGCTTATGAGTCCCAAGATCATATGCTATCTTAAAGAAGGAAATTGAGAAAATAATTTTTGGGAACCATCAGGTCATCTCCCTGCTCTCTTACCAGAAGGATGTTGGCTTAGATTCCATTGGACCAACTGCTTTTCAGCATTATTTACTTGGTGCTTCTGAAATAGCAGTATGATTTTAGGCTACAAAATGATGATGTGGATATCATCAATAGATCTGAATTCTGGCAGTGGGTAATTCAATTCAGCTTATCTGGGAAGTCTACCAGTATCTTTGACCTGCTATATCTAGTTGTGTCTATAGATCAACGGTAGATACTGCAAACAGTTACCTTATCCAACGAGAACCGAAGTAAACATTTAGTGAACCAGTTATTGTTCTCCTGTCTGATCTATTCATCAGCAATAGCTGAGTGAAACATAACAGGTTCTATCAGTAGTTAAATCCCCGAGTGGCAAACACAAAACAAAGTCAGTTTAATTCAGTCTTTAAAGTCAGGAACATTTAGAAATCTGGCTGCTGTTGTTCAGCTATAGTTTTGGAGCTCTAGCACACCTTTTAACTGCCCAGGCTTTATACATCCCCAGAAGCACTCAGTAACACCCTCCTGGGGTTACCATCTGTGTTTCCAGGACCCCAGCTATGGTAATGAAGGAGAGCAAGAAGGGGGTATAGTTAGACTGCTGGCATCACAAATGAACACTGTCATTAGTGAAATTGTGGGAGACAGGCCATCACCTTGTCAACACTTGACTCCTCTTCATAGTATATTTTTCTTCATTCTTATAGATGTCTCTAGTTTTAGGCCACTGCTGCAAGTTCTATTTTTCTCTTTCCTGTCTAGCTGTTTGCTTTTATTATCCTCTTCACTCTGGGTCACAGCATCCAGTTTGCTCTCTGAATCTACATCTCTAATTCCAAACCAAAGCAACTCTTTCCCTTTCCCTTTGTCCATATATGGCCAAGCTTTCTTTTGTCTGCAGGCCATCCAGGTAAAGACCCTAGATACTTCAATCCTGCTACAATTGGAGCCTACTCTCCAAAGAACTGTGTACAGTCTGGGGATTATTTGAGGCCTTGCAGGCAACAAAGAAGTGGTTCTGGAAGTGGGTGTCCCCTTGTTTCTACCCCCTTCACCCACAACCACTATCCTAGTTCAGAACTTTTTTCCCTCTCACTTGCACCATTGGACAACCCTAATAGCTTCCAATATTCTCTTCAGTTTATCCTTCACATAGCTTCCAAAGGTAGAAGAAAGATCAATCTATCTGGAGCCAGAAGCACTGGTTCACATTCCATCTCTGATGCTTACTGTGTGACCTTGATCAAATGGTTTCACCTTTTGCAGCCTCAGTTTCCTCATCTGTAAAATGAGGGACTTGTACAAGGTGCCAGTGAATATCCTTTGAAGTTTTAAATCTATGATTCTATGGTTCAACAATTCCTTGTGCACCTTCATTAATTTTTGATGGACAAAAGTGATGAGGCAACTATATTTGTGAATCAGGGTAAATAAAGATAGGGACTGAGGCAGGTCGTTACTAAGATCATTGAATAGACCTTTTGCATTTGGCAGTCACTGAAAAGTACCAGGAATGGCTTCATTACGTTCAAAGTAAAGGACATAGGAACCAGAATTCATTGTGTTTCCCCAGAGTTGGTGCAGGCTTTCTTCCTACACTAGTCTATCAAGTCCTGGGGGTTTGAGTTCCAGAGAGGTGTTCTAGTCGGGGAGACTGGTGTCTAAAATCTAGGTAAATCCTCAAGACAAACAAGGTTCATGAGGCAAACCGTCATCTTATAGGATCAAATACTGGGCTTAGCATCAGGATGATTTGAGCTTGCTTTAGACATTTGATAGCTATGTAACCCTGGGCAAATAACTCAACTTTTCTGTCTTTGTTTCCTCATGTGTAAAATGTGGAGGTTGGATTTAATGGCTTCCTTTCCAGCTCTAAGTGATTCCATGCTCTTGTGACCCTCGTACTTTCTTTTTGGTACTCTGCAGAAAAATTATGAAAAGGCAGTCTTGTTCTAAACCAGAGAATGACCCAAGTCCCTGACCCAAGCCTTGTGTATACAAGGAAGAGAATAGGGGGTATTATAACCACACTTAGGCCACTGGGTTCTTCTAATGATACGATGAGATAATTTAAGTAATGCTTTTTGCAAATCTTAAAGCTCTAATGTATATTAATGTGAGCTATTATTATATCTGACTCCAAGGCTGGCCCTCCCTGCACTATACTTTTTTGTCTCTCTTTAATGTTATAACCAGTGCATTATAGCTTCTCAGGAATCGTCTAGTAGAAAAGAATTCTTGATAACATCCCTCACTCACCAGGCTTTAGGAGCTACAAAACTGGAGTGTGCATAGACACACACATGCACAGATATACAATTTACTGTTAATAGCTAAAGTGTTCATCAAATGCCAACTGTAAACTCTGAGGACTGTCCAGACAAGGATTTCCTGGACCTTTTCCTATGAGTAATTTTAGAGTGGTCATTTTTCTCAAAAGATTATAAGGAAGTAGCTTGTGAGAGAATTCCTTCCATTAAAAGCCAAGATAACTTTTACTGCAGACCCTCATAGTTCTATGTGTCACCTCTGCAGAAATGTCCATGGATTTTTGATGTGTCATTGATCTTATTTAAGATTGAAGATGGAAGTGTCCTTTTTATATAGAAAGCTGAAGGATGTACAATAGGGTTATTTCCAGAGAAAAGCATGAGGTTCCTTTAAAAAAAAATGTTCCCACATCCTTTGACTTGTAGTAGTTTTCATGGAAATTGAATTGTGGGCTTGCTCTTCATTAGGTCAGATTGTGGTCAGCCTGCAACTCTAATAAGCCACTTGTCTCCATTAAAATGATTTTTTGTCACTGGAGGCAGGAGTCCAAAAAAGGGAGAAGCCATACGTAGTCTTCTTCACTTCAGCCTTTTCACACTGAATGGAAAAAATGGAACTACAAGAAGGAAAAAGACTGGCCAAATAAGTAAATGAGCAAACGAACAAACAAATGAATATGTGAGTGTGTGTGTGTGTCTCTGTGTGTGTATGTGTGTGTATGATAAAAATGTAATTTGCTTATTTTTCTTTTGTTATTGCTCCACTCTGATGTTAACCTTAGTGACATGAGCTTCTGATGTTCCTTGTACAATTGTTATTGCTTGCATTTGTCATGTGCTTGACCTTTGTCGTTTCTGGGGGACTTTTTTTGCCCCTCTTGCCCAGATTGATAAGTTTCAAGTGGAAGCTGTATCTCTTGGGAAACTGAAGAAGGCGCTGTTGCTCTGTGAGGCCACTGACCTATCGCAGTACTGGTACTGTGAAAAAGTCATCGTCAGAGAGCCAATGAAGGAATCAGAATTCATATTCAATTGTGAAAGGTAAGGTTAACCCTCTAGTGCTATGTTTAATCTTTCTCTCCTGAGATATGTTTTAGAATTACATTTACCTCATAGCTGTCAAAAATCTACAGAACTATGTTTGATTTTTAAGAGGAGAGGTATCTTTTAAATTTTCCACATGATTTAATATTTCACCACTGATAATTTAATTTAGTGATCTCCTGGTAATTATTGAAAAGGGAGTCAAAATCCTTTCATATCTTCTTGACGGAACAGTGTAATGTGCTTCAATACTATAGGAACAGTGTCACTTAAAGCTTGAAAGCTAAGCAAATAGTGAGGATAAATCACAGGAATAAGTTATAAAATTAAAACCTAATCCATTATCAGAAGAGTCAGTGGACTCCAATTTGAAAACGGGTTTGTCTTATTGGTGTTCTTTCAAAAGAGGTAATCAGCAGGAAAGAAACGAGACCAAAATAGGCAAAACAGTACACTTGGAAAAAGGTGGGAAAATAGATCCAATAAACAAGGCAGCAGCAGCGCAAGACCTAAGTAGGAATTGGTACAAGGGAGAATGTATTAGATGGGGCAATGCAACAGGGACTAAAGGAATTCCATTATAAAAGACCAAAGGACAATGAGATACCAAACCCAGACAGCAGTGATGAGAATTTTATTTGGCTCTTTCCTCCTCATAGGTACCAAATTGCATCTTTACCTTTTTCAGTATCTTCCTCAAGTCCAGCTCTTCCTTTGTATTCTTGCTGCCATTACCCTAATTCAGACCCTTATTATGAGATTATTGTGTTATTGTTGCTGTTATCATTATCACTGTAGTCATTGTTATATATTCTTCAGTCTGGGATGCTTGTCCCAAATTTCTTCCTATTAATCCCTTACCTGATTGCCAGATTACTCTTGATAAAGAATTGCTTTGAACTCCTTTGCTCAAAAATCTATAGTGGTTCTTGTTATTCACAAAATAATGTCTATGTTTTTCTACCTGGCATTCAAGGCACTTCACAGTCTGGCCCTATCCTTCCATAATAGCCTTATAATATAGACAATTATTGGATATGTAGGGTAATGGAAAATGAAGAGTCAAGGATGACTTTGCGATTATGACCTTGTGTGATGGGAAGGATGGGAGTGCCCTTGATAGAAAGAGATGGAAGAGGTGTAGGCTTTGGAGAAAAGATGATACATTCTGATGAAGATATGTTGAGTTTGAGATGCCAATAGGATATCTAGCTTGTAATATTAAATAGGGCATGAGCTCAGGAGAAATATAGGTCCTGAATATATAGATCTTTGAGTTACCTGCAAAGAGATAATAATTAAAGGTATGGCAGTTGATGAGACAATTGAGATTGTAGAGAAGAAAAAAGGGTGCAAGACATAGCCTTAGGGTAGCCCCAGCAAATGATATGAATGATGATCCATCCAAGGATACTGAGAAGGAATGTTAGATAGAAGAAAAACCAAGAGAGAGCAGTGTCACAGAAACCTAGATAAGCATGAATATTCAGGAGACAAGTGTGATCCACAGTGTCAAATGCTGCAGAGATGTGAAAAAATGAGGAAGGATTAAGAAAGGCAATATTATTTTTGGCAAGTAAGAGATCGTTGATAACTTTCAAGAGAACAGATTTAGTAGATGGAGGTCAAAAGTCATATTGTAAACGGTTGGGAATTGAGTGACAGGATAGAAGTGAAACTTTTTTTTCTGGGAGTTTGGTTATGAAAAGGAGGAGAAACACCAGATAGTTAGGGCGAGGTGAAAGTTTTTTTTTTTAAAGGATAGAGAGACCCAGACTTCTTTGCAGGCAGTAGAGAATTGAACAAAAGACAGGGAGAAATTGACAATGAGGGAAAGAGGTGATGATCATGGGGACATTTTGTGAGAGAAACAGAAAAGCATGTGATTTAAGGTACATATTTAAGGGTGACATTGACAAGGAGAAGATACTGAAATAAAGGAGAAAAGAATGGGAAGTTATGTCAAGGAGTTTTGAGCTATGGAGTAAGAAATGAGAGTACTTAAGACACATGCCTTCTGTTTTCTCATTGGAGTTTGAGAGCAGGTCCTAAGTAAAGGGGGAAGGGGAAGACAGAGAGAGAGAGAGAGACAGAGAGAGACAGAGACAGAGACAGAGAGAGAGGAGACAGAGAGACAGAGAGAGACAGGGACAGAGAGACAGAGAGAGACAGAGAGAGAATATGAACATGTTTATAGTTCAAGGTAGTATAATGTGGAAGTTTTGAGGAGAAAAAGTTAGAGTTAGAACAATTTCTTTGAATAGCCAGCTAGAGAATCTATTAAGGATGACTACACAGATTATCTTGCTACAGTTAGGGCACATTAGATAACACACATTTGTAATGCATACATGAAACAGTTACTTGACTTCCTCCAGTTCTGTTCAGTAACATAGGAGTTGGAATGAAAAGGTGGATGTTGGAAATAATCTAGTTTTCGGGTTTGGAAAGGTATGAGTGGCAACAGGGAAAGGAGTAAGGAATATTTGAGTGAAGATGCTGATATTTCCATCAATTTATTGGACATTAGTAAAATCTAAATCCAAAATCCAAGCTTTTCCACAAGCTGCTGATGGTTAGAGAGAATAAATGGATTGTACAGGTGGTAGAAGTGGGCACAGATGTGACAGGACGATGCCTATGACTGGGTGATCCCAGCTGACTTTGGAAGCTGGAAGATTTAACTTGTGATGAGTGTAGAATCCTATTCAATGAGTAGGTGGCATATTCCTGTTTTTTTTTTCCCAGCTACCTTGGGCATGAATCCTTGAATTGCCTGCAGAATGCTGTCCAATTTTGAACAGGCATTTCCAGGAGATGATGTCACCTAGCACAGGAGCTACCAGCAAAGTGGGGAAAACAGTTATTCGTGTCACCTTGGTTTAGGGCTTGAGAACCATAAGTAGTTTCAAGACAGTCCAGATATTCAGAAGTTGATAGACAGATTTAAGAACCTGAGGACTGAATACATGTAATCCCTGGTTTCAGTCTTGGTAGATTGACTTGAATCTCCTCATTGCTGGAGAGAATGATGACTCAGCCCTGTGTGCCTGCATGATAGGTACAGGTGGCTTGAGAGCTTGGGAGAGGAAGTCTATTTTGCCTTCCTTCTTCACAAGAGGATAAATACTGTTCTGGACTCTGTTTAGGAAGAGGCCTTTACAGGGAGAGAAAAACTTTTTAAAGGTTAACAAGTAAGGGATAGCAGTCTCCTCAGCATGCCCCTGATTTCCAGCTTCCCTCCCTGGATACTTCAGGGAATTTCTCCTTGGGTGAAAATGGGATTTATCTTTTGCTTGAGCTTTGATATTTCATTCCCATGGAAGATGTCATTCATTTTGTATACTTTCTGTTATATTATAATATGCATAACTTTTCTGAATTCTTTTTGCTGTCTGCTTGGATAAGTAGATTTACTCACTATTCACTCTCTGTGATGGTCTTTTGGTAGTTAGTATTTGGTGAAAATGGGGCAAGCCTTTGGATATAAGGTTCTCTTTAAGGGATAATAACCTGGAAAGCAGCTTGAATTAAAAACATACCTCCCCCCAATAATTCATCTAGAGTAGAAATATTTAAAGGGATGATATATATAAATCTAGTTTGGTACCATCTCTTAAAGGAAAACAAGGCCAGTCTTATGGACCCTTTTCCTGCTCTCTGTCTAGGAAGGAATCTAAGTCTCCTTTGCAGAAGGATGGGCATATACCTACCAAGCCTCCCTGTAAGATACACATAGATAAATCCATGTTGACATACCCATACTCTAAGTGGGTATCATATAAACCCTACATATGTATTTGATGAGGAGGTGCTGAGAAGACCAGAGATAAAAGATTTCTTTATGAATATTTCTTGGCCCCAGCTTTTGCTCAAAGGCTGTTGTTTCCTGTTGGCAGGAAAAGCTCCATGGAGCTGATGCAGCATTTAGGGCACAATGGCGCCATTGTGACCTACAGAAGCATGGCCAAGCAATTAGTCACTCAAGATTAGTAAACTCATTCACTTTTAAGGACATTGAATTCTAGGGTATCTGGATTACTTAACACGAGGATGTTTGTGGTCTAGACAACTTAGGAGAAAATTCTTATTCCAGGTGATCAAATGAGACAATATTTGTAAAAAGTGGTCAGCTAGTATTATGTGTGCCTGAGGCCGGATTTGAAATCAGGTCCTCCTGAATCCAGGGCCAGTACTTTATCCACTACGCCACCTAGCTGCCCCCAATAAGTTTATTTTTGAAAATATACACAAAAATGTTGAACCATTTCATACATCTTCAGCAGCTGGAGCATCTCCACTCTTGGTGTTCCTAGTATATATCAATTGTGCTCTGTGCTTAGAAACTAGCTTAATCAGACCTTTACTAAGCAGTTTCTGGAGAGCTGCCCAGGCTAGAGAACCCTGGATCTTCAGTCTCTCTGAAACTACTGCAGGGATGATAAGTTAATAGTTGGGGACCTCCTTGTAGAATTTGTCATATGTTGCATTGTCAAACAGAACCAGATTGTTGAGCTTGTCTAGCACTTTTCCCTTGGACTACTTCTTCTTAGCTTTGCCCCTAGACTTGTTCAAGGTATCTTTGTTCTTTTTGGCTGAATTGCCGGCATCTTTCTTCTTTTTATCATCCTTGGGCAGCATGGTGAGGCATTAGGAACTCTTGCTGCTACCACCTTTGAGCTAAGATGTTGGAACTCTCAACTAGTTTTGATGATTACTTCTTTAGAGTATGAATTGTGGACTAGAGATGCTATTTCCTTTTCATCTTTTATGATTCTAGATATTTTGTTCCTCCAAAGGAATTTTGTTGTTATTTTTCTACTTCTGTAAAGTACTTCTTTCATAGTTTTGATTGTTATTGCATCCAATCTATAAATTAATTTAGGTATTATCATCATTTTTCATTATGTTGGGATGGGTCATCCATTACAATAGAATATCCTTCCAGTTAAATTATTTTTTAAAAAGAGATTTCTGTAATTATATCCCTAAATGAA